GCTGGTGGCCGGTCATCCTGGTTGATTTGCCAGAGCTGCCCCCAATCTGTGAGCCTTTGGGTCATACGTTCATCGGGTGGCAGTGTCCTGTAGGGCCGTTCCCAGGCCAGTTCACTACTGCGAAGACTGCGGAAGAGCCCTTTAAGGCCTTTGGCTACACCTTGGGTCAGCCAGGCTTTGTATTGGAGGTGACTCTCATCGTTTGCCGCTTGTTGTGCTAATTGAAGTTGATGGTCAATGGTGTGGTTGACCAAGTTGGCGGCATGACTGTCTTTGTATTTGTGCCAGTGGTAACAGGTGTCGAGGAACTGGCCCCATGTCGGCGTGCCAACCCAGTGTTGGGGTGCATCAGCAATTGCTTGCATGAAGCCCTTGGTGGGTCCTCGAACCTGCTGGGGAGGCTGTTGGAGTGCTAGCTTGAACCTGGCCCGTAGTTGTTCCCAGTAAGCTGGTCGGCCTCTTTTCCACGTGGTGATGGTGGTGATTGGCGCCAAAGGCTTGTGACTAGCCCTGAGGTTGGACCCTCTCCCTTGCGCAGCCCAAGGGTGTTCTTGTAGTAGGTATTGTTCGGTGCGAGACAGCCAGTCCGCCCATGCTTGCGCCGTATCGTTGACTGGGTTGCCATACAGGTCCAACTCATAGGCCGTGGATTTGTAGGTGGTCCATGGCCGGAAGTCGATGTCCGGTGTGGCCGGGAGCGGTGGGAAGTACTGGATTTGCCGGTATTCTTTGGTGGCCTCTTCGATGTTGAAGTGGTACGAGATGAGTGCATGAGGCCTCCAAGGAACAGCCCATTCAGTAGTGAGGGATGTGGCGCTGGCCAGCTGGTTGTGGATCAGGGCATAGTCAATGACATTGCCGGACAAGAGGCTGGCGTCTGGCGAGAGGACCTCAAAATGAAATTTGGAGGGCAACACCGTGCTGGTTATGCTGCCAGGGCTGTTTTGCCAATCCCCCAAGAGGACAAAGGGGTGGTTGGTGGCCTGAACCAGTGCCAAGAGGCGGGCGAGTATGGTGGCATTGACATCGCTTTGCAGCGTTTCACCTGTCTTCATGTAGGTGCCTGCCACAAGGATGGTGCACTCTGTTGCTTGCCAGAGAAATGCTTGAAAGCCGCAGCCTTGGGTCGTGTAGGATTCCAAAGGAGTGAGCCCACACGTAGGGTCTGCAAGCACCATGATGCCTCCATGCGTGCCTGTCTTGCTTTCATTCGGGTGGGCTGGTGTGCCAAAGGCAGTTCTGCCTCTTATGGTGAAATATTGGCAGGTCTGTTGATGCTGCTGTGGATCAAGATGCGTTTCAACCAACACGTACACCTCGCTTTGCCTTGACCAGTACCAGTCCAGTACCTGTCTCCCAAAGTGAGTCACATTTGCAAAATGCAAATTGTTGTGAGGTTGCTCCACTCTGGCCTTCTTCTCCGGGCTGGGGTGGAGTGGTGGGTCGAAGTCTGGCTCTGCAGGTGGTGGCAGAGATCTGAGGACCTGTTGGGGAGTCTTGAAAGTGTCAATGCGCACTGCCCATACCTGCGTGACTTGGCTGGCCAGCTGTGGTGTCAAGTGCTCCAAGTGCATTGGCGGTTTGCCATCGTCAGCTATCCACATCAGATCCCGATAGATGAGGATAGCAAAGTAGTGTCCGGTGTTGTGACTCTTCCCTTGATGGCATATCAGTGCTGCCGGCACAAACTCTGTGGATGCTCTGGCAAAGCCATCCAGGGATCTGGGAACGGTGAAGCTGCCATAGGTGTTCACCAGTTTGCTGTGTTTTGTGGGTGTGCCATTGATCGTAGTGTTTCTGGTGATGTGGCTGACTAATACTGGTTTGTCGTCCGTCAAGTATTGACCTAGTCCTGTGTTCGCCCATCCGTTGAAAAGGTCTTGGAGAGTGGTGACCTCTGGCCCGTCATCAGGAAAAGGGACCAGGATGGGTTGCTGGATGTGATCGATTAAGTATCCTCCTGGCTGGGTTTCTGCAAATCTGTAGTGGAAAGCTCTTGTTTGGGAGACATTCCAGAGCGTGTTGACAAAGTGGTTGGCATCACCCTCAATGTTGAGGTCATGTTTCCTCCACATAGGTTTCAGGCCGGGAAGCTGCTGAATGTCCACTGCTTCCGCCATCTCTAAGGACTCCTGGACCGCCTCTTTGAGGTTTCCCCAGGGCTGGGTGTTGGTTTCCTGGAGCAAGCCGCATGTCCAGGCGAATGCTCTCCATGGGGCATTGGCATAGCATCGGCTGCTAGGGTTGCCCACAGTCATCGTGAGGTTCTGAAGGATGACTTCCGTGGTAGTGGCATAAGCCGGTTCCATCTTGCCCTTGCGCTTGGCCTTGGTTTTCACCTGGCTGTTGGGCTTTCGTCCTCCTTGGATGCAGACCACTTCTGGTCCAGGTGCACCCAGCGGCAACCCATGCGTCAGGGTCAGAGAAGGTGCTGCAACAAAATTGTCAGACCTGTGTGGGTCTGTAGTATTTGTCTCCATGCGTTCAAGAGTTGTTCCCCTGTCACTCTTGGTGGAGCATTCCCCAAAAGGTGGTAGCTGTTGAAAAGGTTTCAGGTGTGTATGTGACTCGTCCCCTGCACGTGTCACCTGCTTGACCCCTTGCGCTGAGTTTGAGGCAGCGCGGCAATCCCCATGTGATGGTGTCCAATCAACTGCTTCCCATGGTATGGACACCTCAAAACCTGGGAAGTCCTGGTGGCCATGGTGAGTCCTGTTACCCACACTCCCCTCCTGCTGGCAGACTGGGTGCATCAGTTTTCCGGCGCTTGCTGGGGTCATCGACATCACTTCCTGGCCTCTTAAGTAAGCCGTGGAGCTGACTGCGCTGTTCAGCAGTCAAGCTGATGCCCAAACTGGTGACAAAAGTCTCAACTGCCATGGGGATGGGAAGCTCTGGATCGGTCACCTCAAGATCTGTTGGTGGTGGTGTCTTGTTGACCGCTTTGCATGTACTGCTCGGACAAGGTCTTGAGCTTTTGTTGTCCTTCTGTGAGCTTGGTCTGATGTTCTTGCGTCTCTTGTAGCATGCTGGCATATTGGCTTTTGACCTGATCCAGTCGGCCTTGGAGCTGTGCTTTCTTCATGGAGATGGTTTTAAGCTCAGTGACCTGGGTCTTTAGCTTCTGTGCCAGGGCTTTCTCGGTGTCCGGGATGGGCTGGTGCATTTTGTTGACCACATCTTGGACTGCTTGTGGAAGCTCCTTGAGATGGGTTTGCAAGACGGCCTCAAGTCCTGGCTCCTCTTGCGGGGGCGGTCCAAAGCCCAGGGTTTGGAGCTTGGTCTGAGCTTCAGCAGGGATGGCTTCCCATGTGCTGGCTAAGATCTCATTGGCAGCCTGCGTGGGCATGGTCTTCTTGAGCGGCTTGAGCTTCTGGAGCCCCGGTGGCCTGTCAAGCAGGTCCTTGGAGCTGGAACGCCAGCTGTCTTGTGCTCGTTGAGGTCTGCCCTGACCTTTGCCTTTGCCGATTCCTGCACGTACTGAAGGCCACCAGATGCCACATTTGCGGCATCGGGTGTCGGGGCGTAGTTTGTCCTGCCATATCCAATTTGAGCAGTTGTGGCACACCACATAAGCTCTGCTCCATGAAGTGGGGGTGCTAGTCGTCATAGTGCAGGCGATGGAGAACGGCAAACTCCTGGTGATTCTGCACTTGGTAGGCAAGGAGCTGATCCCCGGTCAAGATCTGGCCTTTCGCAAATGCAGAGTTGAAGCACCAGTGCAATGCAGGGTCTGGAGGTTGTAGCCAGGCGAGCAAATGCCAGGTGCCGAAGGTCTCTGCCGAAGCGTCGTGCTCGAGGTCGTGAATCACGGGCAAAGGACGCTGGCCGAGGGAGAAGGCTGTGGCGGTGTCTGTCAGGTTATTCACCGAGCAAACGTGGTGAAAGGGGCTGTCCGCACCAGGTGGGCTTTATGAACGGGGGCCACCTTGAACCGCTCACAGCTTGAGCCATGTATGTATGTATGTATGTATGTATGTATGTATGTATGTATGTATG